TTTTAAGAACTGTAAAACCATTTTCTAGAGTGGCTGCACCATTAATATTCTTACAAAGTGTATAGAGGCTTTCAATACTCTATATACCAACTTTGTTTTCATTTGTTTTGATAGTTGCCAAACTGAGTGTGTGAGGTAATATATCACCATGGCCTTAGTGTCATTCTTCCAATGATTTGTTATACTGGACATTATTTTCATGTGTTTATTGTCTATCTGTAAATAACCTTTGGAGAAATATCTTAAGTTATTTGCACATTTTAATCAAATTTTTGTCATTGAGTTTGGTATTGGTTATATATTCTGGAAACTAATGTCTTGTTAGAGAAATGATTTCTAAGTGTTTTCTCCCCTGTGAGTTCTCTTTCCTCTGTACTAATGTAATTCTTTGCTACATAAAAGTCGCTAATTTTGAGGAAGTACAAATTATGTATTTTTCTTTTTTACCTGTGATATTATGTTGTTTTAAAAGTATGAGAATAAGAGTTTTTGTGTGAAATTTCATTATCTTATGTCCAAAAGATTTTATGCACCTGTTCCTTTTACTATCTATTTCCTCTTTGGAATTTCATGCTCTGTTATATGGAATTATATTCTCTGATATATTATAGCATCTTTAAGCATAACATCTTTAAACATAAACATGTTTTAAACATAAACATCTTTTAACAAACATTTTTCTACATGCTAACCCATTATGGTCAGATGTATGACATGATGTATATATCCTCAAGTAATTATTTTGCTGAGTTAAGGGTCAAAAATTGATAGCCTTAAATGAGAGACTGACCTGATTTGCCTAATGAATATTTTAAGCTATATCTAATCACATCTCCATAACAAAGTTCACTCCTAGTTTATAATCTACATTATAGCACTTAATACAATTAAATGAATCTGTGTTTTTCATTGGTATACATTGTATTATTGTTATTTGGGGCTTGCATTATATGACTAACCATGTTTTCCTTAACTACTTTCAATTTGCATTGTCATACTAAATTTTATATAAGCAAATTACATCATTAAAATTGGTTTTGATATAATTCATAATTTGAACAGTTTTAGGTCTTTAAACTTTTCAGTGGAAAAATAATTTTGATATTAGTGAATTTGGTATAATCCAAATATTTTTTCTGGAGGTTTGTATACAATCTTTTCCTCATTTCTTCCATACTTAATTGGTATAGTGTTTAAATGCTGGAATTTGAAGTCAAATACACCTGGCTTTTGGATTTTCCTTACCATTCATAAAGTATAGAAACTTTAGATTCCAATTTTTTCTGTAAAATCAAGATAAGGATATGTAATTCATAAACGTATTTTAAGAGTTAAATGAGATAATATTTGTAAAGTGCTTAGTATAGTGTTTGATACACAGTGAACACACACACACACACACACACACACACAACTGGTATTATTGTTACTCGACATCAGTTCTTCCATTTAGAAATAATAAAAAAATTATTGAAAGTTTAGCCTTTTTCTAAACTAAATTAGGACAAAGTAATTGAGTATAGGCCTTAGAAGAAAATTGTACTTTTTTCTATTTTATTTGGTTTTCTTTTTAAATATTTTATTTATTATTTCTATTTTATATGTATGAGTGTATGGACTGCATTTATGTAACTGCACTCATGTAATACAATGCCCACAGAGGTCAGCTGCCAAGTGGGTGCTGGGAATTGAACCTAGGTCCTCTGCAAGAGCAGGGAGTGCTCTTAACCACGGACCCATTTCTCCAGTCCATTTATTTGGTTTTCTTGAGAATCCTTGTGAAAACAAATTATGTTACTTGTTATAGCAGCTATTTGCATTCAGAAGGGTAAGTGAACAATGGCATTGAGCACAATAGGAGTTTGTCTGGCTAGCATGCATTGTATTGGTTTCAGTATTGTCTATAGACTACAGAAAGTGTTTTCCCTTTGACTCATTCGAAGGCAGCTTCAGAATGAGCGATTATCTGATACTCTGTACTGGGTTCATTGCATCAATGTATGCTAATGTGGAATTTGGTCCTTGGTAGTTTTAAATAATTTTTTCCCACCTGGGTATGAAAGAATACAATTTTATTAGCAAATATTATTTCTTCATATTAATAGCTGTATTTTACTATTTCCATTAATGCTGTTCTTTTTTGCAAGAATTAATCTACTCTATTGTACATTATTTTAGTCTTCAAGTAGTGTGGTATAGTCAGAACAGATTAGACTTCCTATCCCCAGAAACTAAGTTTTAATCCTTATTTTATAGCCAGTTACTTTGTACATTAAGGGAGTTATTTAATCTTCCTGTTTTAATATCTTCAGATCTAAAATTGCTGTAACAATATTCCCTTTGACCTTATTTGATACCTCCCTATCTACTCCCCATCCTCACCAATACTGTTTAATCTCCTGAAGGAAAATTCTACCTACAGGTCCTTTACTTTTCTCATTTTTCAATTATTCCTCATCCTCTTCACTATCTGCAATCCGTTTTATTATTCTGATGCTGTTTGCGATAAAAATCGATGATCTCCTAATTGTGAAATTCAGAATAGCTTCACTTCTTGCATTCGTGGGATACTGTGCTGCATTTAATACTTGTCTGTCCTGAATACCTTATTACCTTGTTCCTTTCTGATCCATTTTGTTCTTAGTCTTAGATGCAGTTTCCTGTAGCCATCTCTCAGGTGTTCTGGCCCATTATATCTTTGACCCTATGTACTTTTCCTAGAACATCCTATCCATTTATACTTTTACTTCCATCACCACCTTCCTTAATACATCCAATTGTAATGATCCTTTTGTGTACCTACCTCAGCCTTTAAGTAGTACGTTCCCTAAGGTCTGTGTCATATTTATACTTCCATTATGTGTTCAGGGCTGTATGTGACATGTAGTTTCTTCATTTCCCATTATTGACGCCCTCAGAGGTTTCTCTTTCAAATGAAAGTCTTTTTTGCTCCCTGACACTAAAACCCTGTAATTAGTACTTGCTATTTAAATATTTACCATATATTGATAATCATACCAGTGTATATGATATATTTTGCTTTACAGTTTTCCAGCGAACCTTCATATAGATTTGTGCAATAGTCTTAAAGTGCTTAGATGGGAGTTCCTCATCTTCTTACAGTCATATTTTACCAGCATTTGCACACATCTTCCCTTTGTTTCCTCTTTAAAATAGAGATAAATGATTCATGTCTACAATTAAAAATTTTTAAGTTTCTAAATCTTATAGAAAGAAAACCAAACAGCCCATATTTTCCAGGCATCCTCTTACTGCTCTTTTGTATAGTTTAACTGCTTTGAAACCTTTTCAACTCATCCAGTGCTGGGTTACAGTATCATGGTGACAATAGCATTTGTGAATGTCACTGGTGACCTTCATGTGGCTGTGTCCAGTGAAATAATTTTAACCCTTACTAATATGCAGAGTAGCAGAGAATGAAAGAAAAGCAACATTGAGAGATCCCAAAGCAACTCAAGTGATTTCAAAGAAGTTTGAAAATATATTAAGGGCACATCTGGCCTAGTACTAGATGTTATCAGGAACCAATTGTCCTAGTTTGTTTCTTCATTGCTGTAACAAAACACTCTGACCACTACCAACTTGAGGAGGAAAGGGTTTATTTATCTTACATCTCCCGGGTCACAGTTCATCGGGGAGCCCAAGGTAGGAACTCAGGGCAGAAACTTGGAGGCAGGAGCTGGAGCACAGGCCATGGAGGAACACTGCTTACTGGCTTGTTCCCCTGGCCCCTGCTCAGCCTGCTTTCTTATGTAACATAGGCCACCTTCCCGGGGTGGCACCACCCACAATGGGCTGGGCCCTTCCACATCACTGAACAATCAAAAAGATGCCCCATGGACATGGCCACAGGCCAGTCCAAAGAAGGCAATTCCCCAATTGAGGCTCCCTCAACCCAGGTGGGTCAAGTTGACACTAAAGCTATCCAGCACACCAACCTAGTTTTAGGACTAACACTTTTCCTCTCTTGAAGCTATGTAATATACCTGCTATGGGATATCGCTTTGTTCCTTTTAGTATATCTGTTTTAAGCCTATCACTTATTTCTCTACTTGCTTATGATTTCTATTCTTTCATAATTTCTCTGAGAACATAGCCCATTGTGGACTCTTTTCTCCCTATTTAACATAATCAGTGCCATTTAGTTTGTGCTAATTTGATTAATTCCAGTTCACCATTTGGGCCAGGGTACTTTATAGGTGATTGAAGATAGCACAATCTGTACCCTAAATAATCACATATAAATTGCCCTGGGTAATGTTGAAAAATATATTTCCAAGAGCATGAAAGCTAATGGGAATATATACTTCTGAATTTCGTTAAAGTTTAAATGATAAGTATTAGGGAGTTCATTGCAGGATTAAAAAAAAAAGTAAGTGCTTTGGGTTTGCAAAGAATGACAAATGAAAAATACATGATCAAGGAAATGGAAAAGGGGTTTTATTTTAAGTTTTTAACAGCAGACTTTTGAATTTAGAACGAGACAAGGAATTCATTGAATCGGAGTATTTAGTTTTATAATTATCGAAGTAGTGCTGAAGTGATAGAAGATAGGTGCCTGGAATACAGGAAGACAGATTACTTAACCTTATGTAGGAAGAAGGGTAACTGTCCTTCTAGAATGGCGTTAAAGAAGAAAGACGAGTAAGATGCAGATAACTCTGAAAGCAAGGGAACTTGTTTCTGTTCATCATTCTGATAACTTGTCTGCAAACAGAACTGAGAAAAGAGGTAAAGGTTTTCAATTTTTACTGAGGAAAATTCAAATAGGAACCTTACCATAAGGACTATGAATAAGTAGAACTTTACTACAGCCCACATATAGATTGAGAACAAACGGATAATTGGACTGGTGTAAAGTCAAAGTGGATTTAAGTTGTGACATGGTAGGATCTTTTTGCTTGCTTTCCATTCAACTGCTAATTGGATTGACTCAAATGGTTTTTCCTATCTTGTCCTTTCATACTTTTGTTTTGTAGGTCTTGATGACTGTTTGCAGCAGTATATTAAGAACTTTGAGAGGGAGAAGATCAGTGGAGACCAGCTGTTACGCATTACACATCAGGAGCTAGAAGATCTGGGCGTCAGTCGCATTGGCCATCAGGAACTGATCTTGGAGGCAGTTGACCTTCTGTGTGCCCTGGTAAGGAAATGAAAGTGGTGGAAAAAGATATCTCTTTTAACTTCTTTGTTCTCCTTTTATTCTTTTCTTTCTTTTTTTTCTCTTCTTTCAATAGTCAAAATGCAAGTAGGAAGAAAATTTTAGTTTTTAACTGATTAAATGTACTGTTTCCATAATTCCTTGAATTTGTTATATCACTGCTAAATGACAAAGAGGCTTTCAGCTAAACTAGTTATGTAAAATTTAATCATGTGAAAAACACATTATAGCTTAACCAAGGCAAGTTTTTACAGGGAATTTTTAAATACATAATTATATATAAGCAGTTCTGAAGTCCAAGTCTTCTAAAATATGAAATATTAAGTAATCTTATTTTAGAAAAAAGTTTTAAAATAAATTATTTTCATGTCATTTCCATATACAGACAGTGAAAATAAAATATTGTGCTCAGTGGATGAACCCACACTAAGGACATTTGGGGACATAAATCAAACTGTAAAGAGTACATTAAATTGAGCAGGGACAGTGGGAGGAAGGTGAATAGGGGAGGGGCTCTTAATACCATCAAACTATATTGTGTGAAAATAGAAAATATTCTATCAAAAATTTTAAAAAAAGAGCAATGGATAATCAGACAAGAAAAACCAATGTCAAGATAAGCCACCTGCAAGGTTATGTAACCCATTAGCTATTCTGAGATGAAAATAGATTTCTTTTCGAGGTGAAGTAAGGTTACACTAACCTGAATGGTTTTAAACTCTTTCAATTATTTTTTAAATATATTTATTTATTTTTATTTATTTTTCTATATTTTATTTATTATTTTTATTTTATGTGTATGAGTGTATTGCCTGCATGTGTGTGAGTGCACCCGTGTCATGCAATGCCACGGCAGTCAGAAGAGGGCTTCAGATTTTCCTGGAACTGGAGTATAGGATGGTTCATAGCCACCAGGTAGGTACTGGGAATTGAACCCGGGTCCTCTGCAAGAGCAATCAGTGCTCTTAACCGCTGAGTCATCTCTCCAGCCCCTATTTATTTTTATTTTATGTGTATGACTGTTATGCCTGCATGTGCATTAGTGCACCCATGTCATGCAGTGCCCTTGGAGGACAAAAGAGGGCATCGGCTCCCCTGGAACTGGAGTTGTGGACTGTTATTAGCCACCACGTGGGTGCTGGGATTCAAACCGGGGTCTTCTGCAGGAACAGTCAATGCTCTTAGCAACTGAGCATCTCTCCCGCACCATCTTTCAATTATTTGTAACAAGATGGAACTGCAGCCATACAGAGAAAAATGTGATTTATGTAACATTATAACCTGAATTTGAATTTTGGGTCAGTTAACTACTGATACTTATGAAAAAAATCATTCCTGTAGCCTTAGTTTTGTTTGTTTGTTTAAAGCAGAAATTACTACCATGTCCTTGTAGGGGTCAGGTATGGTGGCACATGACTTTAATCCTGGAACTCACGAAGCAGAAGCAGTCCTTGTCTACATAGTGAGTGAGTTTCACATTAGCCTGGACTACATAGTGAGACCCTGGCTCAAAACAAAATAAAAAACAAATAAAGTCTGGTACATATTACACACTCAGTAAACAGTAGCTATTTTTTGATATATTTTATTCAATTTTTGTGCATTTCGTACAAAATATCTTTTTTAAAGTATTGATTTAATAACCACATAATTAGAAGAAGCATTTCATTACAACAGCATTGATATATTCAACAACAATTTCCAGAGCTAAGATGCATCTCTTTCAAAATTGGCTGTAAATTTTTAGGTTTACAGTTGAGTTAATACGGATATACAATATTGTACTCAGTATAAACCCTTTAGGACATAAAATTAAATGATGTTTTAAACTTTAAAAAGATCTCCATTTCATTATTTCAGTTTCATACAGAAAAATTCATTTTTAATGCAATTAACACTAAGATGTTTGCACATGCATTTCTAATCTCTATATATCTGATTATTACTAGTCATAGTCGGTTACTTTCTGAGCTCCTGGGTATCTGAGCATGGATATAAAGCCATCTGGTATATTTCAGTGGTAACGTTTTTCACATCTACTAATTATTAAGGAGCAAATTTTTATGCTTTGAAGAATTGTTATTTTTTTAATTTGTTTTTAAATTTAATATCCATATGATTAGAAGAACCACTTCATTACAGCTTTAACATATTCAGTAACACACTCCAGAGCAAAGATACATCTCTTTCAAAAGTGGCTGTAAATTTTTAGGTTCACAGCTGAATTAATACAGTTATACAATATTGAACTCAGAATAAACCCTGTAAGACATAAAATTGAATGAGTTTTTACCCTTTAAAGAAGATCTCCATTTCATTTTAAAATATGCTGTTTCCTATATTTTTAATATTATTTTTTAGAAGAAGCATACCATTACAGTTTAAAATGCTCAATAACAGTTTCCAGAGCAAAGATACATCTCTTTCAAAAGTGGCTATAAAATTTTTAGGTTCACTGTTGAATTAATACAGTTATACAATATTGAACTCAGTATAAGCCATGTAAGACATAAAATTGAATGAGTTTTTAACCTTTAAAAAAGATCTCTATTTCATTTTAAAATATACTGTTTCTTACAGAAAGACTCATTGTTTTGGCTACTAATGCAGAGATGTTGGTGCATGTGTGTCTAATCTGTATGTATCTGAATATTACTAGCCATAATTGGTTGCACTCAGATCCTTGGCACCTGTGTAGGTCTATAAAGTCATTATCATCAGGTAGATTTCAGTGGTAATGTTTATCATCTGTACTAATTAACATGAAGCAATTTTTTATGCTTCTTCAAATGTAATACATTTTTTTAATTTGTTGATTTTTTTTTTGTGTGTGTGTGTGTGTGTATCACACAGAATATCCCAAACCATCTTATTCAACTATACAGCCACTTCCCAGATGGTACCCTCCCATAGCCTCCCTCCCCCCCACTAGAGACCTTATACTCTGATATTCCTGGTACTGTCTGCTGCATTGTCGGCACCCCCAGGTGTTCCCCACTACTTGCCCATCTGGTGAATCTAGTCAGCCTATCTAGAGGTCTTTGTTTTAGGAAGGTCAGCTGTTCCTCATCTAGCAGCAATCAATTGTCAATATTCCTTTAGATAAGATTTGAGTCTGTTGTTCATTTTCCCAGTTCTATGATGGGTTACTATCTGGGAGTCCCTTGGGCCACCCTGGCCAACAACTCAAAGAAGGTATCTTCGATCTGGCACTGTTGCTTGTTATGTAGCCTTTAGCTATACATATGGACTCTTAAAAATTATATAGGCCCCTTTAATATTTGGTTATACTTTGCTTTTGGGTTATACTTTCCTTAAGGCCATACAGTTGGCCCAGGTAAACCAATTTATTTTTACTCATAAGGCTGTTTGAGGATCTGTTCCTCGGGGGACACATGGGCTTGGGAGGAGCCCCTGGCTCCTTTCTTTTACCAGTTCCACCTATGTGAAGATCAGTCAAAGGTCCTGCTTGACCATGGTTGGCTTCGCTTGGAAGCATGGAGGAAGTGATTTCTCTGTGTTGACCCTCCTCTTTGTAGACTAGACACTCATTTAAGTCCATCTGGTGGGGTCTCTATGGCGTATTTGATCAAGAGGACAGGTGACCCACCACAATTATGGGACATTTTAGTTGATGCTCCTAGTGCCCTGGAAGTAGTCGACTTAGGAGGGCAAGGAGCAAAAACTGTTCTTTATGTCCCTCTGACCAAATTAGTATAGGCCTCAAAGTATGTCTGTTAAACATCCAAGAAGGTTAGTTCCACCAGTCTGGTACTTTTAATTACTGTGTGCCATGTAGGTAAATCTTGGGCAAAGATCAATTGTTCTCAGATAAACCTTACCTAGACATATATTTCTTGATCTGTATGTATAATTTGTCAGTAGGTTGTTGGACTAATATGATTCCCTCTGGTTTTTAAAACTAACTAGGCATTATTTATCTCTCACACTGTCTAACCCCTCCATCATGGTTTCACCTATTTTTAAATGACTAATAAAATCATATAGATAATTGAATACAGTTTAAAGAATAATTTAATATGATTCTTTAATCTGACTTGGCACTTCGTCAGCTGTGAATGTTTTGGTTCTTGCCCCCTTGATAATCATATTTGAGGACAATGGTAATCAAATAATCTTAATACTATGATGACTAATAGATTATATAGTAAATATTTCGAGAATACGAAGATGTTAACTGGTTTTTACTAAGCTGAATGGCTGCATATTGCCTAGGAGGCGAAATGTAACCAACCCGAAGGAGAATGAACATTATATTTATATATATGTGGTGGAAGCAAGAGAAAGGCATCCCAAACAGGTGAAGTACACACAATGAGTGAAGAGCGTACATTAGAAGATGATTTGTTAAATGCTAAGCTATTTTGAAATAAATGAGAACCAATACCAGAAAATTCAGCTTTAAATGAAAAGTGGAGCCAGACAGTAAAGTGCCTTAATTTTGATTCCTAGTATGGTATTTCATCCAAGAATGAAAGAGAATGGGGTGCCCCAGGGAAATGAAAATATTGATATGGCTGGTGTTATGTCAGAAATCATGAGAATAAAGGCCACATACAAGTTATGTCACATTATAATTCTTTTTTAAATTTTTCTTTTAAAAAAACTTTATTGAGAATTTCATACATGCATATAAGGTGTTTTCTATTTCATACAGAAAATTATCTTTATATCCCCTTCCCCTTTGGCACTCTCCCATACACCCCTCATTGGAGTTCACACCTTCTGTCATTTGTGTTAAGGCCTATTGTGTAAAGGTAGTGTCTCCAGATGTCCCTCAATGAAAGCTCATCCACTATGATCTAGTCAGTCTATCTAGAGTCCTTCCCTTTAAGATCAGCTCATTCTCACCCAGCAGTAATCAGCTGCCAATAATTCTCTGAGTAAAATTGGGGTCTGCTGTTCATTTCTGTAGTTCTGTGCTGGGTTTTTGTCTACTTAAGTTTGCATGGGTCTTCTGTATGCTGACACCATCGCTGTAGGTTCATATGAGAAGAGTCCCAGGAACCTGTAAGACTGTTTCCATATGGTCATGCACCTCCTCTCTGGCTCTTACAACCTTTCCGCCCCCTCTTCTGCAATGATCCCTGAGCCTTGGGTGGATGGATTTTAATATAGGACTCCTGTTCAAGGACCCACACCCTTCAAACTCTTATTATCTGTATTTTGGCCATTTGTGACCATTTGAGTTCCTGGCCCTCTATTGCTAATTCGTTTTAAAAATATTTATTTTATTTTTATTTTATATTTTATTTATTATTTTTATTTTATGTGTAAGTGTATTGCCTGCATATAAGTGCACCCATGTCATAAAGTACCCACTGAAGAAAGGTGTGTCAGATCCCCTGGAACTGGAATTATAGATGGTTGTTAGCTGTCATGTGGGTGCTGGGAATTGAACCCAGGTCTTCTGCAAGAGTAATCAGTGCTCCCAGCTGCTGAGCCATCTCTCCAGTCTGCACATAATAATTCTTTTTTAAAAAATAATTTTTTACTTAGTTTCTATGGTCCTCCAATTAACAATGGGCTCCTAGAAGGAACATCTTTTCATCTAATTCAAAGGGTTCTTTTCTTTCGTTTTCTGTGCACTACTCAGCATGTAGATGTCATTAAGATAATATCTTAATAAAACTCTCAGAGAACTATAATTTCTTTTTTATTGACTATCAAATTTCTGTTTTTAGGGTAGAAAGAAAAATTACCAAATTCCTTCTGTTTCTTTTAAGCTGTGCTATGTTTTTGTCTCCCTTGTCTTGAATTTAGTCCTTATGGAAAATAAATGTTATAACAGTTAACAAAATCAGAGATGATTTAGTCATGTTTTCATTAATGCACTGTATTCATTGAACATTAGATGTATTATTTGTACAGTGTTCTTCCAGAAAGATGTTCATGACTTAAAGGCTCATTGACTATTTTAAGTTATGATAGTATCATTTATCATTCTTAATGGAAAATAAAAATATTAACTGTAACAATAAAACCAAAACTAAAATGTCTATAGTT